AAATGTGAGCCAAAATCATCACAATTAAAAGAACTAAAGACTTAAACTACTTCAGTCTGTTTGCATAGAATTTATTTAATACACAAGTTTCACAATTTGAGTTGAATTACTGAAATAAATGAACTTTTCCACAACATTCTAATTAATTGAGATGCACCTGTATGGGGTTGCTGCCCATGTAGAGCATTTTCCATCAGTCATTTATAAGGTTCGTTTCAGTTAGTACGCCGTTTCAGAAAGATCCTCCTTATGTTGACAGTAAACAACAAGGTAGCTCACTAGATTTTTTTAACACAGCCACAGGAACAGGCAGATGTGTGGTAATCATGCACTCACCATTTGTACCAACTCTTGCAAACAGCCATGCAAACGCACAGCTCTGCACGAGTCAAGTAGCGGAACACGGACACCCAAACCTCTCTCTCCCAGCCTGGCTCGTTCCCTCCGTTCTGCTCCACTGAGGGCCGCAAGGTGGAACTGGGACAAGAGTCGGAAGACTTCGTCTTTTCCGATCGAGTCTTTTTCACAATTCTCTCTCGAGGCAGTCGGTGAGGGGAATCTTTCAAGTTTGATCTCAGACTCCGCACCATGTGCGAGTGTTTGGATGCGCTTCTGGTCAGAGTGTGTGGTGATGACGAAAGAGCGAGTGATTTGTTTATGTACAATCTGTCCGCAGGGGAATGAGGACCATCTGTACGAGGGGCGCCATTTCGCAGTGGGGGACGGAGCAGGGCTTTGTGGTTTTGAGGAAGGCTTCTAGAAGACAAGTTGGCTTCCAGTTTGGGAACAATGGCGCTAGGGTCACGCCTACCCCTCGACGGCTGTAACGTCACCGTGACGCAGGACCCCTGGCCTCTGACTTCATCACTTTGCACCACAGAAGTATCAGATGGAGTGGCCTCTCCTCCCTCACTGCTCTCCTCGCTCTCTCCGTTTCGATGACCGTCTCCATTCTCATCTTCACCGGCTTTACCCCCTCGTCTCTGAGGTCTCTCTCCCAGCCTGGCTCGTTCCCTCCGTTCTGCTCCACTGAGGGCCGCAAGGTGGAACTGGGACAAGAGTCGGAAGACTTCGTCTTTTCCGATCGAGTCTTTTTCACAATTCTCTCTCGAGGCAGTCGGTGAGGGGAATCTTTCAAGTTTGATCTCAGACTCCGCACCATGTGCGAGTGTTTGGATGCGCTTCTGGTCAGAGTGTGTGGTGATGACGAAAGAGCGAGTGATTTGTTTACGTGCAATCTGTCCGCAGGGGAATGAGGACCATCTGAACGAGGGGCGCCAGCAAGAGTCTCTGGGATGGGGGCGGCTGCCGTCTGGAGCGGGTCAGAGGCAGGGAGGAGGGGGAGAGGGGTGGGCGACCTTTGCGCCCTATACGCAGACCCCCCACCCCAATCCCTTCTCTGTATGCCCGCTTAGCCGGAGGACCAGACAAGTGACTGCTGTTAGATACGCTGCTGTCTGTTTCTTCCTCACTACTACTGGAAGACTTCAGGTGAAGAAAAAAAAAAATATATATATATATATATATATATATATTACACAATCATTATCAAATTAGATCCAATTATCATCCGAGGAGTGAGTCAAGCAAAGGCTCGTTTAAACAGGATGACTTGTTGCGTTTAAAAAAAAAAAAGACAGCTGCCGAAAGCATACCTCTATGTTTTTGGCCTGGACACATTTTGGACATTCCCAACAACTGGGAAGGTCCTTATTAATAATACCCTCACCGGGCACCTGCAATATACACGTGGCATTAACATAATAGTACATATAACAGCCAATTCCATACAAGCAAGACACGTACCTGTATACATTCTGGATGAGTGATCTGAGCGCATTCGGAGCATTCCATGAGCGTTTGGACGGATTCTGAGTCTTCAGACTCTTGATAGCCTTCCTTACATAGTTTTTGGCCTGGACACATTTTGGACATTCCCAACAACTGGGAAGGTCCTTATTAATAATACCCTCACCGGGCACCTGCAATATACACGTGGCATTAACATAATAGTACATATAACAGCCAATTCCATACAAGCAAGACACGTACCTGTATACATTCTGGATGAGTGATCTGAGCGCATTCGGAGCATTCCATGAGCGTTTGGACGGATTCTGAGTCTTCAGACTCTTGATAGCCTTCCTTACATATGGCACATACTGCAGTATGAGGTAGCGCCGGCTAGAAACGCAACACAAGCGTGAGATACAACACTCAAACATAGTTCATTTTTATACAACTTATGCTTTAGTTTTTCTTGACAATGCTTTCCTTTAGACAATATTTCTGTCAAATTGTATTCATTCATTAACATGGACAAGTCAATTTTACTCTGACTAACACATTTAATTTCAGGTGTTAAATTTTAAATGACAACAATAAGCACAATTACATACACTCCTATTCAAAAGTTTGGGGTTGATGCATTTTTTTTTATGCGTTTGAAAGAAGTCTCATGCTCACCTAGGCTGCATTTATTTTAAAAACAGAAGTATTGCAAAATATTATTACCATTTAAAATAACCATTCTCCATTTTAATATGATCTATATGAATATACAATATTTGAATATTATTTTTAGTTGAATGTTCAGCATCATTACTCCAGTCTTCAGTGTCACATGATCCTTCCGAAAACATCCTAATATGCCAATTTGCTGCTCAAGAAACATTTCTGATTATTATCAATATTTTAAAAAAAGTAGCATAAATGTATTGGACAAAACTTTAAAAATGTTCAATTTTTATTTCAGTAATTTGACTGATGACATTAACACTGAACACAGATACTCACTGCAAGACACTGACGGAGAACACAGCTCTTCTTGAGTCTGCCTGGTCCTCCAAACTTCCTCATGTCCCTACAGTAGTTGCAGTCGCCGCACTCAGTGCGCAGACAGGCCTCGCAGCGCTTGCAGCGCACGCGCCTGCGTCTCAGAGCTGAGATGGAGGAAGACGGCTTCACGGGTCGAGGTACCGGCGGCAACACGGGGGCTGAACCGGGAGCGCGTGGAAGACAGCTGCCGAAAGCATACCTCTTTGTTTTTGGCCTGGACACATTTTGGACATTCCCAACAACTGGGAAGGTCCTTATTAATAATACCCTCACCGGGCACCTGCAATATACACATGTGGCATTAACATAACAGTACATATAACAGCCAATTCCATACAAGCAAGATGTGGGACAATTAGAGCTGAGAAAGAAGATGAGTCTCATCACATTTAATGGTTTAAAGCACTAAGAAATCACAAATATCTAACTACACTACTGGTCAAAAACTCGGGGTCAATCAGTTTTTTTTGTGTTTTTTTTAAGAAATTAACATTTATTCAGCAAGGACACATTCAATTGACCAAAAGTGACAGCAAAGACATTTATAATGTTACAAAGATTTGTTACAAAGTAAATGCTGTTCTTCTGATCTTTCGATGGCACATACTGCAGTATGAGGTAGCGCCGGCTAGAAACGCAACAAGCGTGAGATACAACACTCAAACATAGTTCATTTTTATACAACTTATGCTTTAGTTTTTCTTGACAATGCTTTCCTTTAGACAATATTTCTGTCAAATTGTATTCATTCATTAACATGGACAAGTCAATTTTACTCTGACTAACACCACATTTAATTTCAGGTGTTAAATTTTAAATGACAACAATAACATACACTCCTATTCAAAAGTTTGGGGTTGATGCATTTTTTTTTTTATGCGTTTGAAAGAAGTCTCATGCTCACCTAGGCTGCATTTATTTTAAAAACAGAAGTATTGCAAAATATTATTACCATTTAAAATAACCATTCTCCATTTTAATATGCTCGCCTAAATATGCAGTATAACAGACAGAACAGACTGCATGCATGCAATACCATATCCCACAGTGCAATGTGGCTGACGTAACCTTTTATTTACAGCATTTTTGTTTAGTTTAGTTGTTTACAGTGGGAATGCACATTAATAAATATGGCTGTTAAATGTGCGCAAATTTTGAAAAGAAAGATTTTAATCTGTAGACCCTTGACAGCCTGACCTCTGAACTCGAAGTAATTACAGTCACGAATGCTTTCATGACTTATTTAATTATACTAGACAATGTTAAGACATTTTAGACCAAATTGGATGAACTGTGCTAAATATTTCCCATGAAAATTTGAAAGCACTCCATGAATTAGCACTGAATTAAACATGCAACATGTTGATGTCACATAGAAGCATAACACTGTTTGAAATGTTTAATTACCGCATTATGCATTCTGTTTCCCATACTATTTCTGTTGAAGTTGGAAGTATTTGTTGAAGCATTTCATTCTGAACTACATAGCGTTGTACCTTTAAGAAAGCACTCACCTTCCTTCCCCTGAGGATATGATACCAGACTGATGTGCCACCAAAGTCTATGTGGAAATCTGTGAAGCATCCCTCGACACTCATCAGACAATACCTGAAAATCACACACGACTGATATGAACAATCTTCATAAAGCAAGTTCACATTGCCCTAGTGTTCAAACAAAAAAGGTTTAAATGGAACCGTGTGAATTAATAAAGCAAAACAACTCACTTCTGTACTTTAGGGTACTGCATGTCTATAATGGCATTGGTGGAGTCTCTCTGGCTTTCTTTAAGATGCCTTGGCCACATGTTGTCCACCCAGTCAATCATATCAACCTAATTAAAACAAGCCAACACATAAAATGTTTCACACAAAAAAAGGCATGAATGCTTGTGTAGAGGTCAACCCGAAAATGTATTTTGCTGAGATGACAACTACCAACAATGTTCATAAAATTAGCTTAAATAATGACAATGCTTCATCTGTTTTTATTGCATCCTATATTAATAACCCTCCAGTGCTGCTTTGATATTTTAAATCACATACTATTATTTCTAATCATTTAATTGGATTCATTATTTTTATTCATTATATTATTATCATACAACAATAGTATAACAATATTATTTTTATTATCGTATTTGTATTATCATTTGATATCACATTCATTTTTGTTAATATTCAATAGTGCCAAAAGATTTTATCATTACAGACATTTAGCAAACACTCGATATCGGTTGACCACTAGGGTTGGACACAATATTACTGCTTTTACAGAATGTATTAAATAAAATGGAGCCTTGCTGAGCAGAAGAGATTTCAAAAACATTAAAAAAAAACTTCCCAACAAAACTTCTGAATGGTAGTGCACGTTTGAAATAGCTTGCTACTATAATACCATTATAATTTCTGCAGTATATAGCATTTACACTGCACATAGTATTGTCTGTAAGCAACAATAACCCGATAGCCTACTATATTGCCTAAATATGCAGTATAACAGACAGAACAGACTGCATGCATGCAATACCATATCCCACAGTGCAATGTGGCTGACGTAACCTTTTATTTACAGCATTTTTGTTTAGTTTAGTTGTTTACAGGGGGAATGCACATTAATAAATATGGCTGTTAAATGTGCGCTAATTTTGAAAAGAAAGATTTTAATCTGTAGACCCTTGACAGCCTGACCTCTGAACTCGAAGTAATTACAGTCACGAATGCTTTCATGACTTATTTAATTATACTAGACAATGTTAAGACATTTTAGACCAAATTGGATGAACTGTGCTAAATATTTCCCATGAAAATTTGAAAGCACTCCATGAATTAGCACTGAATTAAACATGCAACATGTTGATGTCACATAGAAGCATAACACTGTTTGAAATGTTTAATTACCGCATTATGCATTCTGTTTCCCATACTATTTCTGTTGAAGTTGGAAGTATTTGTTGAAGCATTTCATTCTGAACTACATAGCGTTGTACCTTTAAGAAAGCACTCACCTTCCTTCCCCTGAGGATATGATACCAGACTGATGTGCCACCAAAGTCTATGTGGAAATCTGTGAAGCATCCCTCGACACTCATCAGACAATACCTGAAAATCACACACGACTGATATGAACAATCTTCATAAAGCAAGTTCACATTGCCCTAGTGTTCAAACAAAAAAGGTTTAAATGGAACCGTGTGAATTAATAAAGCAAAACAACTCACTTCTGTACTTTAGGGTACTGCATGTCTATAATGGCATTGGTGGAGTCTCTCTGGCTTTCTTTAAGATGCCTTGGCCACATGTTGTCCACCCAGTCAATCATATCAACCTAATTAAAACAAGCCAACACATAAAATGTTTCACACAAAAAAAGGCATGAATGCTTGTGTAGAGGTCAACCCGAAAATGTATTTTGCTGAGATGACAACTACCAACAATGTTCATAAAATTAGCTTAAATAATGACAATGCTTCATCTGTTTTTATTGCATCCTATATTAATAACCCTCCAGTGCTGCTTTGATATTTTAAATCACATACTATTATTTCTAATCATTTAATTGGATTCATTATTTTTATTCATTATATTATTATCATACAACAATAGTATAACAATATTATTTTTATTATCGTATTTGTATTATCATTTGATATCACATTCATTTTTGTTAATATTCAATAGTGCCAAAAGATTTTATCATTACAGACATTTAGCAAACACTCGATATCGGTTGACCACTAGGGTTGGACGATGTCTACAAAATTGGCATCGGATGATGTCTACAGTGAAACATCGCGATGGACGATGACATCGGTGGGGGCGAGCGGGGGGGAGGGGTGTGGAGTTAGGGGTGCCTGAAGCGTGAATCCTTATAAGGGAAAACACGATTCCTAATTTCTGTTGAAGTTGGAAGTATTTGTTGAAGCATTTCATTCTGAACTACATAGCGTTGTACCTTTAAGAAAGCACTCACCTTCCTTCCCCTGAGGATATGATACCAGACTGATGTGCCACCAAAGTCTATGTGGAAATCTGTGAAGCATCCCTCGACACTCATCAGACAATACCTGAAAATCACACACGACTGATATGAACAATCTTCATAAAGCAAGTTCACATTGCCCTAGTGTTCAAACAAAAAAGGTTTAAATGGAACCGTGTGAATTAATAAAGCAAAACAACTCACTTCTGTACTTTAGGGTACTGCATGTCTATAATGGCATTGGTGGAGTCTCTCTGGCTTTCTTTAAGATGCCTTGGCCACATGTTGTCCACCCAGTCAATCATATCAACCTAATTAAAACAAGCCAACACATAAAATGTTTCGCACAAAAAAAAGGCATGAATGCTTGTGTAGAGGTCAACCCCAATTATATATAGATCAGTCTATAGAACTCATTATAATCAGTGATGCTGTCTACACTGACTGATGTGGTTCATGAGTACATGATTCAATAATTTCCCTAAAGGAATAGTTCACCTGAGAGATTTTTGGCCCTCCACTAGGGCATCGCAATGTACGATGACATCGGCAGGGGCGAGCGGGGGGAGTGCTGTGGGGGTGCTGTTAGGGGGTGTGGCCGAAGTGTGAATCCTTATAAGGGAAAACACGATTCCTAACACCATGTCTACACCAGACGCGAGCGGCACAGTGCGACAAAATCCTATAGAACACTGATCTATAATAGAGATTTATTATATATAGATCAGTCTATAGAACTCATTATAATCAGTGATGCTGTCTACACTGGATGCGGCGCGACATGACAAATCCCTGACAGTAAATTGCTGCCGCATTCTATTTATGATGTGCTGACATTTGACAAATTTCAAATGATTTTCAAAGGTCGCTTTGTCGCGTCCAGTGTAGACAGACTTTAGCTGATGTGGCACGGCGCAGCACGACAACCGTCGCGTCCGGTGTAGACACGGTGTAACGGTTGCCTGTTACAATACAGTACAGAAAATTTCACTTACCACATAAACAGAGTAAGGAGAGATGACTGAGGACGATGGCAAATGATTTGCAGATCCTCAATACCACTGACAAACATATAATCTTGTAAAATATGTAGCAAATACTGCCACTCCATAGTATAAACAGAGTATGTGCTATCGCAAATCTCGAAAGTGAAAATGAAACAAAGCAGGTATAATAGCGGCTCCCTGATGCAGAAATATATATGTAGTATAATTACCCAATTATATAACTGCGAGGAAAAATATATTTTCCTCCCATCTCGTATTTATTCCCTTTAGGGGTTCCGCCTACACATTTTCTTTCCGAACACGGTATTGGGATGCGGGGGGAATGGGGGGGTGGGTTACCATGCCGGCTCAACATTGTGATGTCTATCAGCCATCGGCCCAACCCTATTGACTACTAATTGCATGTGCACATACCGAGGTAGGTCTCTTGACTAGATGCTCTAGTTTTGTGTGACTGAACTCCAGGCTGATCACATTATACAGCTTTTCACGTTCAGAAGGCGGCGTCTCGTAGTATCTCCTCCACTGTCCCATTGACATCTCGATGCCTTTTTGAGTGGTCACATCCATCACATCAACCATCCTGCGACTGCCTATCAGAGCAAAGGTAGGGGAGGGACTGTTAGCAGGTGTCACCGATAATAAAAATGCTCAAGGCATGAGAGTGAGAGAGGAACAAAAACCTTCTTACCCACAAACAATTTCACATCACTGACACTAAAGTCTGGGTCAGGCATCCTACAAAAGACAGATAATATAAAGAGCTTTCAAATGGGTTCGGTGGCCACAAACACTGGCATCATGAAATGGGCCATACTTTATGCCAAGACCATCTGCTTTCTTGAAGATAATGGGGTCCCGGAGTCCCTCCCGTTGGATGTACTCCAAGGTGAAGTCTGCAAAGAACACCATGCACCGTCAACTCCAAATAACGGCAAGTTTTGAGTATTTCAAAACAGCTTTAAAGAAAATGTTGCTTCATAACCAAATCATTGGTGGCAGTGGCAAAGAAAACTCACAATATGGTTAGCTAGGATAAGAGGAACTGAAACTCAGCGCATGGAGCTCACCATAAGTCAGTGCAGGAACTAAACAACAAGCAAGGTCCAAAACGCACCTTTCCCATCCATAATTTTGACCAGATCTGAGTTGTATCGATCACTTTGGAGTTTCTCGTCAACGTCAAAGGACCTCTTCCCTTCGATTTCATCATCTGAAATGCTGTCATCTTGGTAGCGCCGCCGTGTGCCAGTCCGCTGAAAGCAGAAAACAAAAGACGTTGAGGTAACAATACACAGATTAACACAGAAATGAACTCAATCTGAGCAGCTGAGTCAATCTTCAAGAATCGGCTAAAAACACATCTCTTCCATCTTTATCTGACCCTCTAACTCTAGCACTCTCTATTCTAAATCTATTCTTTTAAAAAAATTGCCCCTTTTAGACTTGCCATTCATTCAGTTATTAATTTACTAACAGCTTGTTTTCTTAAAAAAAAAAAAACACTAGCTTCTCTAATCTTTTTGCATTCTATTTGTTTTCTTTTTATTTATTATACAACTAACAAAAGCAAAAAAACGCCTCTATAACACTAGCTTGCTCCATTCACTTTCTTCTTATTTTCCTGTTTCCGTGGCACAGTCGAAGTCAGGGCTGTCCAAACTCGGTCCTGGAGGTCCGGTGTCCTGCAGAGTTTAGCTCCAACTTGCCTCAACACACCTGACTGGAAGTTTCTATGCCTAGTAAGAGCTTGATTAGCTGGTTCAGGTGTGTTTAATTCGGGTTGGAGCTAAACTCTTCAGGACACCGGCCCTCCAGGACCGAGTTTGGACAGCCCTGGTCTAAGTGATAAGGCAGTGTAAACACATGAGAAAGAGGTTTTGACAGTCTCTTCCCTTTGACGCGTGCACTGGAATAGCAACAAAGCCCTCGGGTGTGACTACAGGCCAAGAGCGCCAGCTGTCGACGGTACACCGCCGTTACAGCTCGGTTAAAACTACATGCAAATGTACCACAGACAGCAATTTAGTTCACGTAATAGCTGTTGAGTAAATGAGAAACTTACCAGGCGTTTGCTATAACGCGAACTCTCTTCCATGCTCTGAAAATTAAGGGATGAATTACTAGAAGGTTCCTTGCATACGCTGTAATCAATAAATGGCATCAGGTGCGGCGAGTGGAACTGCGTTAATGAATCAATAGAGCTGAAACCAGTTTGAGTGACTGGAAGACTGCTAAACAAATCAGCAACCTTTACTTTAACGTATCAGCATACACAACAGCAGAGTTAAATGCTGTCTAGCTAGGAGGCTCACTAGGCTTGGAGACACAGTCATTATGTAAACCAGCAGTACGATCAGACAACAGTCAGTTTAAACGCTCCCAACTTCCCATTTCTCAGACAACAAATCAAAACTACACGTTTTAAACGCCAAGCACTCGAACATCTTTCATCTGCTGCTCATGAAGTAAATAAACAGCGAGGAGCTGTGACAGATAACTGACATGTATTTCCGTTCTGAAGCGGCTAGCCTGAGCGAACGCTCCACTACTTTTGACCGAGAACCAGTAACGTAATGCTAATACAGTTCCACTTAAATGTGGGCTTGTCTTCATCGCAAGACTCAGTTGTAACTACTCTATTACTGAAAAGCATATGGTGGGATTAAAGCAGCAAAGTCAAGCCCCTGGCAGTGGAGGCTAACCAGCTAATTCACTAACGTTAGCACTAACATTGACAACCCGCGCTGGCCCGTTAGCCTGCTAGAAACAAAACAAAAAAGACCTTTAAACAATACCTAGCCTTCTACTTTCGCTTTCTGCCGACAGTGTCGAGTGAAAATAGGCTTAACAATTCGCGTTGGACTGCACATTCATCCTGTGCAATTTTGTCGTTCTTCACTTGATATTCTTATTTTTGTACGATAAAGTTAAATCAATTCGCTTTCATCCGCCATTTTCGGATTGTCACGATACACACACACTCCACTACTTTCTACTCAAACGACACGCCCCTGGAATAAACAGCCAATGAGGTGGAGGGAATGTAAATTAGGCGAGAGATGATTGGTTCAAACTGATGTCCATCATACGGGAGGCTTTGATCGTCAACGCCCCTTGTTCGTTCATTATATTTCGGGAGCCAATAAATGTTCGGATTGTTGCTTATAACGGGCAGTTTATTGGCCGCGGAGTGAAAATCGGGGCATTATGGCTGCCTATTACTGGCAAGAATATATTTCTTGAATTATAAACCTATCAACGAACGTATATGATCTCCGAAAACTCATTGGTTGAGTTTTGGTCACCGACCGCATTTGGTAAGAAGAGGATTAAAACGAAGGCATTATAATATTGATTGTCATGTAAAGCAGCCGAGTCAAAGCCACCTGCCTTGATCCAAAACATCCCAGGGTGTCTGTCCTCTGATTGGTCGCTGTTAGAGATTAAATCCACATTACACAAAATGTATTTAAAAAAATCCTTTCAAAGATTAAACCTTGACTATGTGAGCATTAAAGCAAATTACAACAAAAGCACGCTTCTTAAGTCTCATTTTAATAGATCGTTACAGAACACGTGAAATACAACCATCCCTTATTGAAACATTTACTACAGCTATAAACAATAAACAGCAACAGCAAAACATAAAACCACACAATATATTGAACTATAAGACGAAATGATGAGACATGACCATGAGGGAAAGCGCACCAGAGGAAAAACAAAGAAATAGCTAGACAAACAAATATAGGCTAGTATATACACTGCTGTTCAAGAGTTTGGGATCAGTAAGATTTGTAATGTTTTTAAAGAAGTCACGGCTGCATTTATTTGATCAGAAATACAGAAAAAACTGTAATATTGTGAACTAGTATTCCAATTTAAAATAACAGATTTCTATTTTAATATAGGCTATTGTAAAATGTAATTTATTGCTGTGTTCAAAGCTGTATTTTCAGCATCATTACTCCAGTCTTCAGTGTCACACGATCTTTCAGAAATCATTCTAATATGCTGATTTATTATCAATATTGGAAGCAGTTGTGCTGCTTAATATTTTTTGGGGAACCTGTGATACTTTTTTTCAGGCTTATTTGATGAATACAATTAAAAAGAACAGCATTTATTTAAAATATAAATCTTTTTAACAACATGAGTCTTTATTATCACTCTTTATCAATTTAACACTTCCTTTCTGAAAAAAAGAAAAAAGAATTAATGACCCCAAACTTTTGAACGGTAGTGTATATTGTTAAAAACGATGAACAAATTCTGCTCTTTTTAACTTTTTATTCATCAAAGAACCTTGGAAAAAAGTATTACAGGTTCCAAAAAAACTGTTTCCAATATTGATAATAAATCAGGATATTAGAATGATTTCTGAAGGATCATGTGACACTGAAGACTGGAGTAATGATGCTGAAAAATTCAGCTTTGATCACAGGGATAAATTACATTTTAAAGTATATTAAAATAGAAAACCATTATTTTAAATAGCAATAATATTTCACAATATTACAGTTTTTCTGTATTTCTGATCAAATAAATGCAGTCGTGATAAGTATAAGAGACTTCTTTAAAAACGTTACAAATCGTATTGATCCCAAACTTTTGAAGGGCAGTGTGTCTGCCGGGCTGCTTTCTTTAAGAACCGTCCATGTTGGAGAAGCCGCAGCACGGATGTGTTGGTGTGCAGCTGCGGTTGTGCGGCAGGAGGCGCTGGGCTTCAGCCGCTCAGGTGCTCTGTGTGACGGGTTTGTCTAGATGAAGCACTACACAGGACGTGCATCTCTGAGATATGAGGCTAACTGAGAAGCAGCAAGGACAGGAGATATAAGGGGAGCAGGTTTAGTTGTGGTCTTGAGGGCACTTCAGCCTGAAAGATAGTAAAAGTGACAATTTGAGATGAAATATTAAAGGGATAGTTCACCCAAAAATGAAAACTCTGTCATTAATTACTCACCCTCGTGTCGTTTCAGACCCGTAAGACCTTCGTTCATCTTCGGAACACAAATTAAGATATTTCTGATGGAATCCGAGAGCTGTATGACCCTGCATAGACAGCAATACAACTGAAATGCTTCCTTGCTATGTTTCCTTGGGAACATTTCAGTTGCGTTGCTGTCTATGCAGGGTCAGACAGCTCTCGGATTCCATCAGAAATATCTTAATTTGTGTTCCGAAGATGAACGAAGGTCTTACGGGTTTGAAACGACACGAGGGTGAGTAATTAATGACAGAGTTTTCATTTTTGGGTGAACTATCCCTTTAATGGGTCAGTAAGATTTGTTATTTTTTTGCTTCTATTCAGCAAAGAAATTAAATTGTTCAAAAGTGACAGAATATTTATTTCAAATAAATGATTTTTTTTTTTTAACAAAGCAGCACAACTGTTTTCAATAATCAGAAATGTTTCTCGAGGAGCAAATCATCATATTAGTATGATTTCTGAAGGATCATGTGACACTGAAGACTGATGCTGAAAATTAAGCACTGCATCACAGGAATAGATTACATTTGAATATATATTAAAACTGATTTTAAATTATAATATTTCACAATTTGTACTGTGATACCATAGAAAAACTCTTTGGGGTTCTCCAGCGAACAGTTCTTAAAAGAAGCATGTTGTTCTTAGGTTGATGAACATTTTAAAATAATCCACTATAAAGAAACTTTTGTGGAATGGAAAGTTTCCATGGATAATAAGAACCATTGTTAATGAGCACAAGAGACTTCTTGGTAGTATATGAAGACTTGCCCAAAATGTGAAGCACACAATACTCTTGTTCGCCTTCGTTAAATAGTTGTGAATGCATGTCAGTGTGGTTTTAATGTGTTTGTTTACCCAAAGGTTTATATGATGAACACAGTCTCATTCCATGGAATTTTAGTTTGGAGGGCAGTATATTCAAAATCATTATAAAACTGCAATTAAAATACACAGACTGCTGGAGAAAAAACACATTTATATATAGTTTATACAGTTACTTGTGACAACTTGCCCCAGTCTCCCTTATATATGTGTATACTATATATTAATTAGAATTCTTACCATTAAGAAAAGAAGCTGTAAAGGTAAGAAAAGACAACAATCCCCAGAATCACACAGCAAAGCATGATCATCAATTTCTTCTACAGAGAGAAAGATGGATATGTAAGAGACAGTAAAGACAAATAAATGAGAACAGGAGAAAGTTAGAAAATGCACATGGGAAAGGGGAAAAGTTCTCACAGCAGATCACGTCTTTTAAAATGTTGCTCATGAAAAACCATGCACAATTCTTTTAAAATGACAGAAGAGAGAAAGAGGAGTAAAACAAAGGAAAGGTTTAGGTTTAATGCCTGTGTGTGTTTGTGTGTTTAAGAAAGTGAGCATTTACTTACCATCAGGTGTGGAGCACATTCATAATACAAACCAAACAAGAAGTTTTCCTGTGCTTCCTAATAACATAATAATAACATGATTCATGAAAAAAGTATTGTTGCATAATTTTTTTGCAGGCCTGTAATCGCATGATTAGGAATACTAGTTTAAGTAATAGTGTAACTATTGAACCCATACTCGCATATAAACTTATTATAACTATTGAAACCCTATCGGTTGATTATTAAATATTAATTAATATATAATTTATTAACATATAAACAAATGACAGTTTTCTGACAATGATCCCTTTGAATCCATCAATTCATTTCTCAAAAATGTACAAAATACTTAGAAAATATATAATGTAATTTATTCCTTAGGTTAATTCCCATACAGACGTTCATCACAATAAAAATCTACTCGTGTGGGCTTCTTCCGTTCTGGACGACCCATCAATGCTTAGCTTATTGTGTTCATTTCACAGAGATCCAAAATAGAAGCTGAAATCACATCTGTGTCTCTGAGCACTTTTGATCAAGAACAGCAGCTCATCCAGTAGATGTAGACATTGATGTGTCTTATGAACACACAATACAATAGAAACATTAAGGCGTAAAATGGAGGTTAACTTCCCCTTGTGAGTCTCATAAAAGTCCCTTATTTTGTGCTCATGGATTTGTCCATGTATTTAAAATGTGCTTCCTTCAAAGCCATTCCTTGCATGTAGTAGAAGTTCCTTAAACATTTCCCATCACGTCCTTACAACAAAAAAAACACAGTCTGTTTCCCTGACCGTCACTCGGGTTCCAGCAGAGTAGTTTCCCATTGGTTTGTGCTGATGAAGGGAGGGGCCACAGGTGCAGGGGGTGGAGCATTTGTCGACTTACTTCCAAGGAAAAACAGGGAGGATGAAAAGGAGTGGAGGAAATTATCATCTGTAATAATGGAGAGTTTGTGAGCAGCCACAGAGGTTTTCATAGGACCTGTGTGAGGATGACGATGACGATGAGGATGATGATGAGCACCACAGCACCAATCACACCCAGTATGATCATCTTCTACAAGAGACGAAATGAAACATGATCCATTAATCCAACAGCAAACATCTAAAGTCTTCAACCCTTCAACACCATAACAAATAACGGAGCCCAACAGAACCATAACACACAGACAACATAGAAATGAAGTCCACAACCAAACCTAAGGACGTCCAGGAGATCCCAAACAAAGCATTAGGGCTGGGTTTTGACACAAATTTCACGATTCGATTTGATTCTTATTCACGAGCTTGCGATTCAATTTGATTACCGATTCGATTACCAATTCGATTCGATTCAATTCAATATAGATTATTTTGGATATATATCAGGTACAGTACATGCCGAATTTTCTCTCAACTAATGCTGTAAAATATACATGAGAGTCAGCTGGTACTACATTACTATAATATTGAAGGTTAAAATTGACTGATTTGTTAAAATTACACTTAATGAAGTTTTTAAAATAATAAAGTTACAATTACATAATAATATTTCTAGCTTCAATTAGTTTTTTTATATAAACATAATGGTGGCTGGCATAAAAACTTGATGGATTTATTCAGACATAAATGAAAC